CCCCCGCCCCGCCTCTTCCCACCAGCCCCTCCCTCCCGCCAGCTCACCAGCTGAGGCTGAAGCTGAGGCAGCCCAGGTCCGCGGCCAGGGCGTGCAGAGGATGGTGGGAGCCTCCGCGGGACTTGAAATAGACGTTGAGCTTGGTGAACTCCAGCTGCACGTCGCTGATGTCGTGCAGGAAGAGCACCAGGATGCCCACGCTGTGGTACCTGAGGAGGGAAGCCGGGCCGAGGGGGGAGGGCAGGTCACACAGCGTCCCAATCCCTGCCCTGAGGGCCCCAAGACAGGCCCCTGGGGCACATCTTCCCTGCCTTTCCGAGCCACCCCGCTGGTCACCTGCCCGGCCCGACGCCCCAAAGGGCAGGTCTGCGGCAGCACAGACTGCACTCGCCGGGGGACAGCGCCCCGGGGTCCTCACTCACTGTGCCCAGGTGCCCAGGGGCCTGCCTGGAAGTCCTTTCTCTAATCCGTCCTCATCTCTGTGACCTCTGACCCACCAGGACTGCTGGCTCCCGCAGGCCAGGGCCATTCTGTGTCCCGATCCCCCATACACTCGCCGACGTTCCCAGGCCCCTGGGATTTACCTGAACTTCGCTCTTGATATGAAAGCTGCAGGTGCCTCGGAAACGCGTGCCCCCTGAGGGTCTAAGGAGGCCTGAGAGCCGTCCCCCCCGGCCCCAGTGTTCCCCTTACGCTGCCTGAGCCCAGGTCCTGAACTCAGCCTGGATCGGGCCATGGGTCTCCCTCACCAGGTCTCTGTCCACACTGGCCTTCCTGTTGTTGGACCTTTGCACGTGCTGCTCCCAGCACCTAACGTACCTCCCGGCGCTGGCAGAGCCTTCCTCCACCTCCTGGTCTTCCTCACTGAGCTGTCACCCCTTCCACCCGCCCCACGGACACCTCACCGTCCCTGCAGGCCTCCATGGCTAATACCTTCAAACAAATTATTCTTTTCTTTCTTTCGTTTTCCTTTTCTGGGCGGTGGGGGCTGTTATCTGGTTCTATCCTCCAGAGCAGTGCTATCTACGGGTTTTCTAGAACAACAGGAAGGTTCTATACCTGCATTACCCCATGGGAGCAACCAGCCAGATGTGGCCACTGAGCAGCTGAAAGGTGGGTGGGGTGCCTGAGGGACAGATGCGTGATGTGTGATTTTTTGTTGTTGTTAATCCTCACCCGGGGATATTTTTCCATTGATCTTTTTTTTTAGAGAGAGTGGAAGAGAGAGGGCAAGACAGAGAGAAACACATTGATTGGTTGCCTCCTGCATGTGCCCTGACCAGGGCCTGGGCCAGGGAGAAGCCTGCAACCGAGGCACATGCCCTTGACCGGAATCGAACCCGGGACTCTTCAGGCCACAGGCCAGTGCTCTATCCAGTGAGCCAACCGGCCAGGGCAGAATGTGTGATTTTATTTAAGCTTAATTAAAGCTGAAATAGCCCCTTGTAACCAGCAGCTCCTACATTGGAGGGTGCAGCTAGAGCAGTGAGGCTGACAGGAACCGGACAAGAGTGTAGACCTCATTTAGATTTTCTATCACCCATGTTAAAAAAGAGAGAAATTAAAATAATATATTCTAATGAACTCCGTATACCCAAAATATTGTTATTTCAACGTGGGATGGATGTAACACAGGCCTTGGCGAGGTATTTTTATTCCTCTGCCTGTGAAATTGGGGTGGATTTGAGAACAATCAGCAGGCTGTAGTTCGGAGAGGATCAGTGGCCACGTGCGGGCTCTTAGGCTGCAGGGTTAGCTGCTCATGGCTGTGCTCCCAGCAGCACCTGCCACATGGCGGGCGTTCAGGAAACACCTGCTACGTGACCTGGTCGAGGTGCCACCCGGGTGGGGCTGGAGGAGGGGAGGGAGGGGATGGGACGGGGCTCCCTGCACCTTGTTCACCCTGTCCCCCTGAATCTCTCTGGAACCCTCCCCCAGGAACACCCCGATGCCCCCTCCCCCCAGGCACCAGCCCTGCCCTGTGCCAGCCTCCCGCCCTTGCTCATGCAGTGCCCTCCGCCCTCCTCGACTCACCGGAAGGCGTAGGAGGAGACGATGAGGACCAGGGTGACCACGTGGTGGACGAGCATGACCACCGAGTCCTTGCGCCAGGCGTCCATGTACAGCGTGGCATAGATGGAATGGCCGTAGAAGCTTCCCTGCAGCAGATAGGCGGCCGCGATGTCCCGAGGCACGGCCATGCCTGGTGTCCAGTCTGGGGAGAGCCGGACCGAGTCAAATCGAACCTGCAGGGCCTCCACCGAGGGACCCAAGTGACCCCACACGCTCTGGAGCCAGGCGTGAGTCCCCCCGTGCCGGGGCAGGCCACGTGCCTGCAGATGTACCGGCCACTGGTTTTCCACCCCAATTCTCCACCTGTTCTCTTTTATTTAATAAGCTTTATTTTCTAGAGCAGTTTCAGTTTTATGGAAAAAGGTGCTCCTACCCCTGAAATCAGTACCTTGCAGGATTTCCCTGGGTGCCCTTCCCGTCTTCTCTTAATTACCAGGCCCTCTCCAGCCAGAGGGCACGTTCCTGTTCCAGCCCCGCCCCTCTCCCCCCAGCAATTTCCCAACCGGATGGAGGCTGCTGCCCACCTCACGGTGCTGGCACAGCAGCTGAAGCAGAAGTAGTTTGCCCGCCTTCACTCAGGTCTCACCCCTTCTCAGCAATGCTGACACCCCCTTTCTTCTCCACCCATTACCAGGGCCGAGGGCTCTGCTCGCTGGGCGCTCCTCCTCTGCCCCACCCCTAACTCAGGGAGCCCCGGGAGCCCTGTTTCCTAGGCTCCACCCATGCCCCTGCCTCACGATGACCCTGCATCTGTGCTCTGGCCACTCCTGCAAAGGAGATCCATGCAGATCCCCATCCGGGGCCCCTCTCCGGCCCATGTCTTAGCTCACTTCCCCGGCCCCCCACTGCCCCTACCCAGCACTGCCCCAGCTCCTCCTGGCCTCTGAGTGTGTTCCCAACTGTCCTCTCTCCCCACGGGGCTCAAAGGCTGTAAACACACAGACCCTGCTACCCAGAAATTCCACTCCTAGGTATGTGCTCAAGGGAACTGAAAGTGGACTAGACAGGCCCTTGTACATGCATGTCCACGGCAGCACTAGTCACAGTTGCCAAAAAGTGGAAACAACCCATCAATAGATAAAGGACAGGCAAAATGTGGTCCTTCCACACATGGACTATTACTCAGCCACAAAAAAGACAGACACACGGACACACTGCGTGGATGAACCCAGAAAACACAATGCCGAACCCTAGCTGGTTTGGCTCAGTGGATAGAGCATCAGCCTGCGGACTGAGGGGTGCCGGGTTTGATTCCAGTCGGGGGCACATGCCCAGGTTGTGGGCTCGATCCCTGGTGGGGGACGTGCAGGAGGCAGCTGATCAATGATTCTCTCTCATCACTGATGTTTCTCTCTCTCTCCCTCTCCCTTTCTCTCTGAAATCAATAAAAATATATATAGACACACAAAACAACACGATGCTGAGTGAAAGGAGCCAGAAACAAACGGTCCACGTAAACTTTAACCTTCGTAACCATCTTTAAGTTCTGCATAAGGCACATTCACATTGTTGAGCAGCCATCCCCACCATCCCTCCCAGAACCCCTTCCTGTTGTAAAACTGAAACCGTCCTTGCTGAACCCCCGCTTCCCGCCCCCTCCCCCAGGCCCTGCTCTATGAATCTGACTCCTCTGGGGCCTCCTGTATGTGGACACAGTACTTGTCTTTTTGTGTCTAGCCAAAATGGTTACCTTTATGTTTCAAGCATTTTACCTAATAAAAGAAAGCAAAACTCCCCATGAATCAGACCTAATCTCCCCCCAGTTTAACACGTCCAGGGGCCTCTCGAAGTTTGACAGCAAATCGGGAATCTGCAGCTGGAGGCTCCCCCCGACCCCAACACACACACAACGGCCAGGTGCCTCTGTCCCTCTTTACAAGGAAAGCATGCAGAGCCTCGATGCAGAGTCCACTGTGGAAAGAGGACACCAGATCTTCCACCTATTACACCGGTAAGACTCACCGTGGGTGAGCATGCCCCCTCCCGCCTCGGGCCCCAGATCTGAGGCGGGAGGGGGGCATTTAATTTACCGTCCAGGCGTCAGCTGCCCTTCCCCACCTGTTGGAGGGCCGGGCTCTGACCTGCTCACAACCTCCAGCCTCCTCTCCATACGTCCCACCTGCTGCTCTGGGGACTGGATATCACCCCCTCTCTCACCTCCAATATCAGGGCCTTGGGCTCCCCAAACACAGCTCCTGGTCGCCCCTAGACCCAACCCTACTGACCCCCCACTTCACTGGGGAGCCCAGAACCTCCTCTTTTACACCGATCTCTGGTTTGGCAGCAAATCCTACCAGCTCTGCCTTCAAAACATTTTTCTTTTAAAAACATGTTTTTACTGATTTCCCAGAGAGAGGAAGGGAGACAGAAACATCAATGATGACAGAGAATCTTCAATAGGCTGCCTCCTGCACGCCCCCTACTGGGGATCGAGCCCACCATCTGGGCATTTGCCCTGACCAGGAATTGAACTATGACCTCCTGGTTCATAGGCCGACATTCAACCACTGAGCCACACTGGCCAAGCTAAAACATTTCCTAAATCAACAACTTCCCTCCTCTGCTCAGTCCAGTCCTGTCCTGGTTGGAGCCCCCACCTCTGCTCACAGCCCCCTGGTAAGTACCCTTTCTGCCCACCTGCCCTCCTCACACCCTGCCCTGACCAGGTGAGCTTCTCTCTGCTCCTGATGCACCAGGAATGTGTTTCTTCCAGGTCTTCACTCAAAAGCCACCTTTGGTGGGGCTACCCCCATTGCTGTAGAGCATGCCCTCCCCTCAGAGACACCCCACTCCCCAAAGTGTTCGCATCAGCACTTATCGCTGGTAACAGATTTTATATTTCACTGTCTGTTGGGGGGCTTTCTCTGACCTGCTCACAACCTGGTATACAGTTGGTGCTCAAAAAATGAGCCTTCAAAGAAGCAGGTAACTTGCAAGCATGGTATCGTAGCATCATTTATAAGAACCAAGAGGCAACTCCATGCCTGAAATTTTAAGAGTTCAATTTATGGTTCATTTGCATAAAGGAAAATTGAATGACAGCTAAAACTTCTCTAAAAATTTACCACGTGGGAAATGCACATAGGAAAATGGCCATGTGGGCAGCACAATCCCATGAGGAGAGCTGAGTGCCCAGTAAACCCAGTGCTTGTTACCAGGACCCTGCTATGCAGGGGCCCCATGCCAGGCCCTCCTACGGTGCCACCAGGAGCCCTCTCAGGCTGTTTATGTCACATGGCAGGAAGCACATCCATGATACACGGCCGGGTGGTCAGCATAGGAACAGAGGACCCCCTTCCCCATCACAGGCCATATTTTCTATACGGACCTGCTTGTTGGTGATAGAGGACACTGCAGTCAAACTTCTGTCCATCCCACCCAGAGCCAGGCCTTGACTACCCCCACATCTAACCCAATCCATGGGTGCAGCCACTTCTCACCATCTGTATCTCTTTGCCAAGCTGGTCTGAACCACACTGGTCCCTTACTTCCCCCCGGGGCCTTGCTACCATCCTCACCCAAGACTTTGCTATTTCAGCCCTGGCCAGTTGATTAGAGCATCACCCTGATATGCCAAGGTTGCAGGTTTGACCCCTAGTCAGGGCACATACAAGAATCAACCAATGAATCCATAAATAAGTGGAACAACGAATCGATGTCTCTCTCTGCCTTACTCCAAGTTGGAATGTCCCTTCCTCCCTCCCTCTCTCTCTCTCTAAAGAAAAAAATTAAAAGATTGCTGTCTCCACATGGCAGCCAGAGGAAGCGTTTTATAATCCATAAACTGTCCCATTTAGAAAACACTCCAACTCCTGCTACCCTGCTCTCTTGCTCACGCACCCAGCCTGTGCATGCCCCAGGGTCTTGCCTGTGCTGTTCCTGACACCTGGAGTGCCCCCCTGGACCCACGAAAGGGGTCACCCCCTCTAGGATGCCTCCCTGAGCTGTAATACGTCCCCAGGGCCCCTTGATCACCCTTGTCTGGAGCAGACATCCAGAATGGAGTGGCTGATGGGTGCCAGCTCCCCATGTGCCCTTCTCCTCAGTGTTTAGAGCAGAGCGATCCCTCGCCCCACTAGGGACCCACCATAGAAGACAGAGGGCGGGTCGTGGAAGAAGGGGTAGTCAGTGCCGAAGAGCAGGTAGGCACTGTAGCTCCAGGTGCCCAGATAGAAGAGGAACTTCCAGGCGCTCTCAGGCATCTTGGCGGCATCTCTAGGCTGGAGGCGGCACCGCTTGGCCAGGGGCTGTGGGTGAGAAGATGGGTGGCCATCAGGGCTAGGAGCCATTCCTTCAGGGTGGGGAGACCAAGGCCCAGGGATTCCCCGGGCTGGGCAGTGTTGGGGAGAGGCCCTTTGATACCCACAGCCGCCTGGAGTAACCAGAGCCCACGCGTGCCTGCCAAGAACTAAACTTAGTCCCCAGCTGTCTGGCTGAGGTGTGAGAGGGGAGAGATGGGAAATGTGAGGGCAGGCCATGAGGGCTCGGAGGCGGGCATGTGAGCATAAAGCAAGGGAGGTCAGCGGGTCTGCACAGGGGAGTCAAGCGGCTTGGGGGTCAGGGGAGCTGGGGTGACACACAGCAGGGGATTAAGGAAAAGGCATGGAGGGGTGTAGCTGTGAGCCTGTGGCGAGAACATGGAGGGGAATATGGGAACACCTGGGGGTGTGGGGGGCTGGAACCGCAGGAGATCCTCTGGGGCAGAAATGTGAGGGAAACGGTGCCTCAGAGGAGGAATCTGGGGAGACCAGAGAGGAACCAGGGCCGGGGGAAGATGGAGTGGGTATTTGGGGGAGGACATGAGGAAATTCTCTCTTTTGTCCAAGAGATAATGAGGCAAGGAAAGAGCAGCACAGTGAGATGGGGTGACCTTAGGGGACATCAGGGAAGACATGAGGAAGGTGGGGGCGTGCAATGATGAGGTCCTGAGGGATTGTACTCTGGGGTCCAGGGTGGGGCGGGGCCTCAAGCTCCTCAGGGGCGGAGCTCTAGAGCTGTCGGGCCAAGCCCCGCCCCCCTCCCAGAGGCTGAGGGGGCTGGAGCAGCTCCAGTTGTCATAGAGACAGCCAGAGCCAGCTCTGGTAACCCTTGGCAACCAGGCTGCTGCCAAAAAGATGAGCTTTGGCGGCCGCCGCAGCCCCTCTGCCTATTCCTGGGAAGGGCGAGCCTCGAATTGGGGTGAGAGGCTGAGGGAGGGCAGACCGGGAAGGAAGCCCGACCTCCAGGGACTCCAAAAGTCAGGGACCACCTGACCTTGCTGTCCCCGCCCAGCTCCCTCAGGAACATGGGAGGGGAGCCCATTCCACCTTGATGGTCCCAGAGTGACCACGTCCCCCCAGGAGCACTGGCCTTCATCCTCCTGGACTCCCCACTTCCAGCTGGAAATTGGGAAGGTGGGGGAGCAATAAAGCCCAACCGGGACCAGGCTAACTATGGGGGGACACTGTCATACTGCCTCCGCCTCCCTGAGCAGGGTGACAGCCAGGGTCTCTCCCACGTGGGTGATGTGGGGAGGGGGAGGGAACAAGAGCAGCCGGACAACAGCCTCTTCCCCGCCAGCAGAGAAAGACCCCTTTGTTGGTGCTGGGCGCTCTGTCCCTGCACCCCTGCCACGTCCAGCCAGACTGGGGCGCGGTGACGCCAGCTGGCCCAGGAGGGAGTCGCAGCTGAGCTCGGGGGCCAAGCACCTTCCCAGCAGCTCCCAAAGCAGACCCCTCCCTAAGATGGGAGGAGGCCAGGCACCAATGTCACCTCATGGTTACTCTCCAGCCGGGCGGTGGCTCTCCAGGCTCGCTGAAAACGGGGCATTCCCATCGCGCCCCTCGGAGGCCGCCCCGGGCCCTTCCGCCTCCCCAAGGCTGCGGCCACCCGCGTGGCAGATGAACCCAGGCCTTTGCCCCCCTGGAGGCGGGCGCTGACTCCAGGCAGACGCAAGGCAGCGACTGAGCCACTCTGACCCTACCCTGTAGCCACAGACAAGGGGGCTCTGCCGGCTGCACTGACCCTGGACCGCTCCAGCTTGGGCTCCAAGCCCCCCGCCCTCCCTCGCATGGCCCGAGTTCCAAACGCAGACCGACCCTATATCACGAGGCCTCCATGGCTATACACTGAGGCCTCCTGTCCCGGACTGACCCGAATGGGTCGTGCTCCGGTTCCCCCACATCACGAACACCCAACCCGTGTCAGGGACCCAACATCGCGGGTTTCCCGGTTCGGCCACACCCCCGCATCCATCCCCAACCCCATCTCGCACTGACAGAAAAGGGCGCGGGGCGGCCCAGGACTCCGCACCCAGAGCTCCTACAGCTCGAGGCCCCCATGTCTGGGACCCAGCTCGCAGAGACAGAAAGGGGTGCACAGCGGCCCGGGGTCCCCCAGCCCATGTCCTGGTCCCCAGCCGTAC